TTCATCTCCCTTCTCGCTTGTAAAAATCCATTATAATAAAAGAAACTTTTTTCAGCACTAAAGTTTAATGAGTCAAATAAAGTTTCAATAGCTTCTGCTAAAAGTTATTACTATATATATATATATATATATATATATATATATATATATATATATATATATATATAATTGTATGCGCTTTTGTGCTTGTGTGTGTGTGTGTTATTTAATATTAAGCTATTTGTCGGCCTCACCGATCTGTGCCATGAAGTTGGTATTTTTCGATCGCGTTCGTGTAAATCGATGAAATAAACGCCGCACGAGAAACAAACACACATACAAACACACACGCAACTAAATTCATGACCGGAAGTACTCGTGTGTGTGTGTGTGCGTCCGCGTCTGTGTTCATATCTATTGATCCAGCAGGCTTTCCTTCTATTTATCTACCTATCGAGTTATTTAGCTATCATAACCAGTTTTCAGCGATCTATCTATCTATCTATCTATCTATCTATCTATCTATCTATCTATCTATCTATCTATGTTCTTTATATATCTATATCGTCCGTTCTTTATCTATCTCATTCTGTTCATATCTATCTATCTATCTATCTATCTATCTATCTATCTATGTTCATTTTCTACCTTTTTATCTATTTTCCCTTACTTCATTTTCAATCTATCTATCTATCAGTTTGTTTAACCTTTATCTATTTATCTCAATCTGTTCAACATCTATCTATCTATCTATCTATCTATCTATCTATCTATCTATCGTAGTCTCTTTAACATGTCTCAGTCCCTTCAATAGATATCTATCAATTAAAGACTGTTCTTTATCTAAGTCTGTTCACATATGTCTATCTATCGATCTATCTATCTATCTATCTATCTTTGTTCTTTATCTATCTATCTATCTAGTTAGATAGCTATCTAGTCTTTTCTTTATATATCTATATCTTATTTTGTCCTATATCTATCTATCTATCCATCGTAGTCTTTTCACTCTAAGAAAGGAGATAAAGTCACTAAGACGCAAGAGGTTATTGGGAATGAAAGAGAATGAGAAGATTTTGGGAGAAAGAATTGGAAACCAATTACTAAACAAGAGATAATCTTCTAATGATATTCAAGATCCATGGAAAGAGTGCTCGATATTGTTTTAAATCTATCTATCAATCTATCTATCTATCTATCTATCTATCTATCTGATTGTTTTAAATGTATCGATCTATCTATCCATGTATCTGATTGTTTTAAATCAAACGGTCTATCTCTTCCATATTTATCCTTTCCTTTACGTTTTTTTTTCTATCTCTCTCAGTGTTTTCGATATATATATATATACACACACACACAGACAAACACACACACACACACACACACACACACACACACACACATATATATATATATATATATATATATATATATATATATATATATATACCCAAGTATGGGATTGGTGTTGAAACAAAATGGCTATTTTTGTAGTGATTTTATAACATGTTTATGTTATAATTTTAAATAATATATATATATATATATATATTGCACATATAGTGCTGGTATTAATAAAACAGTGCTCGATGTAATATAACAGAGCTGTTAAGTATATATTAATAAATATTCATATGACTTCGCACCGATGGCACGACTCGGAGTTTATTTAGGTGCTGAGTATAGCCTGAGCGTTACGTAATTTAAATTTTGAAATATCTTAACGCAATGTCGGCGCAGCATATATATATATATATATATATATATATATATATATATATATATATATATTTATTTAAAAGAAAAACAGACCACTTTTAAGGTACCATTATAATAATTTATTTCACCAGAGTCCTTTTAAAAGGACGCCGGATCATCAGGTAACGCTTCCAACCACGATAATATATATATATATATATATATATATATATATATATATATATTATATATATATATATTGTAAATCTGCACAATTTTTCAAATAAATTGGCATCCGAGGTAAAATGGAAAAATACACAAAGCACCAGAAACCTCTAAAAAATTCGAAAAAAATCGTCCGGTGCCTTAAATTTCTGGTACAAAGACAAAAAAACCCAGGAAGTAATAAGTTAAAACGAAGAGCCGTCAATACGCTAAGTAGAGCAAAACTAAAATAAATAAATTCCCTAATGAGCCAAGTACTACCTACCAAGGTTTCATGACATAGGATCATCAAGGTCAACTGGCGCCGTTATTATATATATATATATATATATATATATATATATATATATATGTATGTGTGTGTGTGTGTGTGTGTGTGTGAAAATATATAGAAAATACGAAAAGAACTCGTTAGGTAAATAATCCAAAGTTCTTTAGTATTTTTGTTATTATTTAAAAAAAAAATAGTGCCCGATATAAAAGTAGAGCATAAATATAATTATTTATTTAAAAATATGATTCCAAAACGCTACATAAGAGTTCTCATGTTTCAAAACTTCAATATAATTATTTGAATTAAATTGAATTAAATTACTAAGCTATGTTCCATCTTCAAGCGAAATTGTTTTGGAATAACTTATTTCTGAAATTTACGTGTTTTATAAGCATATTCATTATTGAAATCAAAATTTCTATGGTAACGGCTAGAGCAATTGTTTAAAGAAAAAGGGGCATAAGGTGTTAATAATTTGTATCAGTATAAAGTTACATCCACAGATGTCAAGTCAGGGTAAGGTTGGGGTGCCTAAATTTAAAGCGGGAGAAGATTTGGCCTAGTCTGGTTTAAGTGTCTATGGAGATTTATTTATTTTTTTATTTTATTTTTTTCTGAAAGGGTTTTGTGTATATAAAAACTGTCGTAAATCGCTAACATTTGTTTTTTGACGACGTTTTTATTTTTAAAAAACAGTGCTCCATACAGAAGTAGAGCTTAAATTATAATTATTTTTTAAAAAATATGATTCCTTCGCCACATAAGAGTTCTCATTTAGGAATCTAGGTTATATATATATATATATATATATATATATATATATATATATATATATATATATAGTTTAGGAAAAACTAGGTAATCCGTATGGGTAAACCCAAGGAGAATAAAATCCAGAGAGCTCAATGTAAATCCAGAGCAAATAATTTAAATAAAAACAGACCACTTTAAGGTTCCATGTAATAAATTATTTCACCAGATCCCTTTTAAAAGGACTGTGGATCATCAGACTTTACTTCACAAAGGTTGAAACAAAAAATTAAATGAAATTTACACATTTTTGACGGGCAGTATTAAGCATATGTAAATTAACGAAGTGAGTAAGTCAGGAAGGAAAAAGAAGGCATGAGTGAGTTACATCTAATTTAAAATCTCTATTATTTTATATATATATATATATATATATATATATATATATATATATATATATATATAACGGAACTGTATTTGTCGTTAACACTCTTTTTTCATTCGGTTTTTCCAGTTACGAGTCCTTTTTTAAAGCTGATCGTTTTGTGTTCATTTTGTTTAGTTCTTTTTTCGTAACAAATTTAATGTTTAGTATAGAGCTTAGAAAAAATTCGCAATGTGAGATAGGCAAGAAGTAAGGCATGTAGTAACATCAGCACGGCAAAGGGCACTCCTTTAAAGGCAAGGAAGGGCAAAAATATTTTAAGCCAAGTGATAGCGATTCCTGTATGAGTCGTACGATTTTTGAATCAAGCACGGGCAACGCCGAAACCATGCTGCTAGTATATATATATATATATATATATATATATATATATATTAATTGTCTATTATATTTAACAATATATATTTAAGTAATGATCTGCGGCGTCAATACACTAAAAGTATATATATATATATATATATATATATATATCTCCATTATCATCATCTTATGACAATAGGTAATGTAAGATGAATAACGCTGCTCTCTCCAAAAGTTCCTGACAATTAAAGAATCATAAAATTACATCTATTGTTATGTTAGATTTTATAGCAAAAAACAAATCTTGCAATAGGAAATGCGATAGATGCAATTTATGCCTTGTCGAAAAATTAAAATACTTAAATAACCCTAATTAAACAAGAGAAATGAACTGATCGCCACGTGTAGGCATAAGAATAAATATATGTTGAAATAGGTTGATCCAGATTAATTTTACTGTAAATTATAACCTTTCCTTTTTATATTTTCTTTTCTTCTATTTTATTACATAAACAATTTTTATATGGATTTGAAGTCTTTTTATTTTTATTAAAACATTTTTTCAATAAAAACTATATTTTTAAAAAACCCAGTATTCACCCTTTATGTTTAATATAAATCTAATTCCCAACTTTAAATAATAATTAATATTCTTTTTATATAGTTTTAGATCCCTCCTTTTCTTTTTATTTTTTTGTAATAAATACCATTAATGGTTGTTTATTTCAAATATAATATAAACAAAATTAACCCCCGTTTATTTTAAATATAAAATGCAAATCCCGTATATCTTAAATGCAATATATATTTTTAAAATAAATAAAAACCTTAATCCTTGAACTCCTACTATACGTCTCGTGATTCTTGACAAAATTCAAAGAATGGTATGCAATTTAATCAATCCTGACCTGGCATCTCGACTTCAGTCACTTTCTCATTTTACATGGCAAGTGTTCAGTTGAGTTTTTTCCCTTAGTGCCTCGACTATATAAATTTAAGCGTGCTACTAGTTTGGCAAATAGGTTTTACTGTTGAATTAACTAGATGCAACCGCAATTTCTACTCTGATTCTTTTCTTTTCTCGCACCTCTTGCTCGTGGAACTTTTTTTTTGTTGTGTTCCCCGCCATCTACAATCATCACTTGAAGACTTCCAACAGCAGCAACAATAAAAATGGTCAGCCCACCAATACGAAAAAGTGCGAGAACAATGTATTTGACAAATTTACTTGAAAATCTTTGAAGATGAAAGATTTTATGAATTTCAAGGAAAGGATCTATGATGTAATCGTTCCTGACCTGGCAACTCCACTGCAGTCAATTTTCT